TGAGAATGAGTGACGGTAAGTGGCATTGAGTGACTGACAGTGAGTGAGTGAAAGTGAGTGAGTGACAGTGAGTGACAGTGAGTGAGTGACAGTGAGTGACAGTAAGTGAGTGACAGTGAGTGAGTGGCAGTGAGTGACAGTGAGTGAGTGACAGTGAGTGGCAGTGAGTGAGTGACAGTGAGTGACAGTGAGTGAGTGACAGTGAGTGACAGTGAGTGAGTGACAGTGAGTGAGTGACAGTGAGTGAGAGTGAGTGACAGTGAGTGACAGTGAGTGACAGTGAGTGAGTGACAGTGAGTGACAGTGAGTGAGTGGCAGTGAGTGACAGTGAGTGACAGTGCGTGAGTGACAGTGAGTGGCAGTGAGTGACAGTGAGTGGCAGTGAGTGGCAGTGAGTGACAGTGAGTGAGTGACAGTGAGTGAGTGACACTGAGTGACTGACAGCGAGGGACAGTGAGTGAGTGACAGTGAGTGACAGTGAGTGAGTGACAGTGAGTGACAGTGAGTGACTGACAGTGAGTGACTGACAGTGAGTGACAGAGTGAGTGACAGTGAGTGAGTGTGAGTGACAGTGAGTGACAGTGAGTGAGTGACAGTGAGTGACAGTGAGTGAGTGACAGCGAGTAACTGAGTGAGTGACAGTGAGTGAGTGACAGTGAGTGACAGTGAGTGAGTGACAGTGAGTGACAATGATTGAATGACAGTGAGTGACAGTGAGTGAGTGACAGTGAGTGACAGTGAATGAATGACAGTGAGTGACAGTGACAATGAGTGACAGTGAGTGAGTGATAGTGAGTGACACTAAGTGACTGTGAGTGAGTGACAGTGAGTGAGAATGAGTGACGGTGAGTGACAGTGAGTGAGTGACAGTGAGTGACAGTGAGTGGGTGAGTGACAGTGAGTGAGTGACAGTGAGTGAGTGACAGTGAGTGACAGTGAGTGAGTGACAGTGAGTGACAGTGAGTGAGTGACAGTGACAGTCAGCGAGTGACAGTGAGTGACAATGAGTGAGTGACAGTGAGTGACAATGAGTGAGTGACAGTGAGTTACAGTGAATGAGTGACAGTGAGTGACAGTGACAATGAGTGACAGTGAGTGAGTGATAGTGAGTGACAGTAAGTGACAGTGAGTGACTGTGAGTGAGTGACAGTGAGTGAGAATGAGTGACGGTAAGTGGCATTGAGTGACTGACAGTGAGTGAGTGAAAGTGAGTGAGTGACAGTGAGTGACAGTGAGTGACAGTGAGTGAGTGACAGTGAGTGACAGTAAGTGAGTGACAGTGAGTGAGTGGCAGTGAGTGACAGTGAGTGAGTGACAGTGAGTGAGTGACAGTGAGTGACAGTGAGTGAGTGACAGTGAGTGACAGTGAGTGAGTGACAGTGAGTGACAGTGAGTGACAGTGAGTGAGTGACAGTGAGTGACAGTGAGTGAGTGGCAGTGAGTGACAGTGAGTGGCAGTGAGTGACAGTGAGTGACAGTGAGTGATAGTGAGTGACAGTGAGTGAGTGGCAGTGAGTGACAGTGAGTGGCAGTGAGTGGCAGTGAGTGACAGTGAGTGAGTGACACTGAGTGACTGACAGCGAGGGACAGTGAGTGAGTGACAGTGAGTGACAGTGAGTGAGTGACATTGAGTGACAGTGAGTGACTGACAGTGAGTGACTGACAGTGAGTGACAGAGTGAGTGACAGTGAGTGACAGTGAGTGAGTGACAGTGAGTGACAGTGAGTGAGTGACAGCGAGTAACTGAGTGAGTGACAGTGAGTGAGTGACAGTGAGCGAGTGACAGTGAGTGAGTGACAGTGAGTGACAATGATTGAATGACAGTGAGTGACAGTGAGTGAGTGACAGTGAGTGACAGTGAATGAATGACAGTGAGTGACAGTGACAATGAGTGACAGTGAGTGAGTGATAGTGAGTGACACTAAGTGACTGTGAGTGAGTGACAGTCAGTGAGAATGAGTGACGGTGAGTGACAGTGAGTGAGTGACAGTGAGTGACAGTGAGTGGGTGAGTGACAGTGAGTGAGTGACAGTGAGTGAGTGACAGTGAGTGACAGTGAGTGAGTGACAGTGAGTGACAGTGAGTGAGTGACAGTGACAGTGAGCGAGTGACAGTGAGTGACAATGAGTGAGTGAAAGTGAGAGACAGTGAGTGACATTGAGTGGCATTGAGCGAGTGACAGTGACTGAGTGACAGTGAGTGACAGTGAGTGATAGTGAGTGACAGTGAGTGAGTGACAGTGATTAACTGAGTGAGTGACAGTGAGTGACAGTGACAGTGAGTGAGTGACAGTGACAGCTACTGAAGCAGCTGAATCAGCAACTGAAGCAGCTGAATCAGCTACTGAAGCAGCTGAATCAGCAGCTGAATCAGCTACTGAAGCAGCTGAATCAGCAACTGAAGTAGCTTAATCAGCAACTGACAGTGAGTGAGTGACAGTGAGTGAGCGACAGTGAGTGACAGTGAATAAGTGATAATGAGTGACAGTGAGTGTGTGACAGTGAGTGACAGTGAGTGACCGTGAGTGACAGTGAGTGACAGTGAGTGAGTGACAGTGAGTGACAGTGAGTGACAGTGAGTGACCGTGAGTGAGTGACAGTGAGTGACCTGAGTGAGTGACAGTGAGTGACAGTAAATGAGTGACAGTGAGTGACATACAGTGACAGCGAGTGAGTGACAGTGACAGAGTGACAGTGAGTGACAGTGAGTGACTGACAGTGAGTGACTGACAGTGAGTGACAGTGAGTGAGTGACAGTGAGTGACAGTGAGTGAGTGACAGTGAGTGACAGTGAGTGAGTGACAGTGAGTGACAGCCTCTGGGATCCACTCACGGCCCTCGCTGGTGGGATTTAGTGTCACAGGGGCAAGAGGGATTTCTGTTTATTCCAAACATCAACTTATTGTTTATAACAATGGTAAATTTTAAACAATTCCAGCTGGGAATCGAGCCCAGACCTTTGCAGTTCCACAGGTGTTGGTTATCTCGTTGTGCCAGAGCAACTGGGCCTCACTCTCGTGACGTCTTTGCTGGTTAACAACAATAGTTTTGTGTTTCAATAAACGTGGATTTATATTGCCTATACAGCAAGAGCGAGTGGCTGTCGTGTTGAGCAGCAGCAGCTGCTGTGGTTACGCAACAGAATTCGGTCTCCTGCAGCAGCTGATTGGGATCCCAATTTGCTGGCGGCCGATCAGATCCAGATTCCCAACACGCGGAGTGGATCTCAGCGGCTGGGATTCAGGGTCAGGCTGAGTGCGCCTCGTGACATCGGCTCCCATGGGCCCCGCACCGTGCACTCTGATGTTCAAGTCAACACCACCATCACTCATCATCATCACCATCATCTCCATCATCATCACCATCATCACCACCATCATCGCTATCATCATCACCACCACCATCACTCATCATCACCATCATCTCCATCATCATCACCATCACCACCACCATCACCACCACCACCATCACCACCACCATCACCACCACCACCATCATCATCATCACCACCACCATCATCACCACCACTACCATCATCATCACCACTACCATCATCATCACCACCATCATTATCACTCATCATCACCACCATCATCATCACCACCATCATCGCCATCATCATCACCACCACCATCATCACCATCACCGCCATCACCACCATCTTCACTATCATCATCACCCATCATCACCACCATAATCATCACTCATTATCTTCACCACCATCACTCATCATCACCACCATCATCACCACCACTACCATCATCATCATTACCACCATCATTATCACTCATCATTATCACCACCATCATCATCACTACCATTATTACCACCATCACCACCATCATTATCACAACCATGAACATCATCATTTGCACCACCATCATCACCATTACCACCATCACCACCATCAGCCACTGTCCATCCACTGCTGGATGAAGGCCTCCCCAAACCGTCCCATGCATTGTTCAAAACAATCTGAAGCAAGTTGCAATGCAGCTACTCGCTTGGTCAGCCCCATCCCATGGCCCAGCCGCCTGGGAAGCTGAGTGGGAAGCTGAGTTGTCAGCTGAGTGGGCAGCTGAGTGGGCAGCTGAGTGGGAAGTTGAGTGGGCAGCTGATTGGGAAGCTGAGTGGGCAGCTGAGTGGGAAGCTGAGTGGGAAGTTGAGTGGGCAGCTGAGTGGGAAGCTGAGTAGGAAGCTGAGTGGTAAGCTGAGTGGGCAGCTGAGTGGGCAGCTGAGTGGGCAGCTGAGTGGGAAGCTGAGTGGGAAGCTGAGTGGGCAGCTGAGTGGGAACCTGAGTGGGCAGCTGAGTGGGAAGCTGAGTGGGCAGCTGAGTAGGCAGCTGAGTAGGAAGCTGAGTGGGCAGCTGAGTGGGAAGCTGAGTGGGCAGCTGAGTGGGAAGCTGAGTGGGCAGCTGAGTGGGCAGCTGAGTGGGAAGCTGAGTGGGCAGCTGAGTGGGCAGCTGAGTAGGAAGCTGAGTGGGCAGCTGAGTGGGCAGCTGAGTGGGCAGCTGCACGGAGCTCCGAGGGATCCCTGACAGAGCCAGGGGCAGGCCCCAGCCTCGTGCTGAGCTGCACTCCGCACGACGCTCATCGTCACAGCAGCAGCAGCAGGCGGTTGTTGTCACCGTTGCCGTGAACAGGAAACCCGCTTCCTCAGCGCGGTTCTCAGCGTCGCTTGCGCCGTTTGTCGCCGTCGATCCACGCTGCTGCGTCGCATCAGGACGTGGTTTGTGTCGCCGTTCGAAACTTTTGTTACATTGAATTAGAAACTCAAACTCACCTCCTTGCCTGCAACTCGTTTATGTTGCATCAACACGTGAGTTGTTTCAACAGGAAGTACGTCTGTGTATCTTATTCGTTCTTATGCTTCATCAGGAATGTCATTTATTACATTTCATTGGTAGTTGATTTTCTAATTTAATTATGTGTATTGATGATATTAACAAGTCCAATGTAGCTGTAGAATGAACCTGACGCTCGCTGTGGTGACTCGTTGCAGGAATCCCGCAACACGCTGAGGTTTGCTGTTACAACTCTAAGAAACCTGAGCACGGAGCCGGAGCTGAAGTCGTGCTTCCACCAGGAGCGAGCGGCGGACGTGCTGGCCTGCTACCTGGACGTGCCCGACGCTCCCTGCAAGCTCTCCGCTCTGAACGCCCTGGCCGGGATCGCCACTGAGCAGGACCTGGACATCATCTGTAACGCACAGGGTGAGGAGGAGTCTCACCACGGGCTGTGTGACCACCCTTGGTGTGAGGGGCACTGGGGACTGAGGTGTGTAGAGTCACGTGGCCATACAGCCCCCGAGTGGCCACTCAATGTGCCGGCGTCTCTCTGTGCGTGGCGATCGACCGCGACGGGGGGGAGCCACGCTCACCGCACTCCCCTGGGTAGAGTGCCGGTGACAAACCTCGTGATCGCGATCGGTTATACGGCATGCATAGCGCTGTTTGTGTGATGTGTAATCACTGTGCCACTCCACGGTGGTATAGATACGCCAAGAATATAATTCATATTATGTGGTATTATGATAGTTACAATGGCCAGGAATGGTTCAATGGGTATTTCACTTAATTTTCAGGAGGGTCCTGCTTGGGGATGTGTGGTCAGTTTTTTGAGCGTGTGACTTATCCTGTCTAGGTTGTAGAGATCACCTTTGTAAATGTTGTAAAGAGTGTGAATGCAATTCTTGCTGCTCAGTCTCACATGACTTACCCTTCATGCTCTCGCTCTGTGCTGCATGTACTGCATGTGCCATGTGTGCTGCATTTGTATGCTGTGTGTGCACTGTGTGCGCTGTGTGCTGTGTGTTGCTTGTGCTGTGTATGTGTGCTGCATGTGTTGCGTGTGCTGCTGTGTGCTTGCTAACAGCACATGTCCCAACAGTCTGTTAAGGTGCTGTGTGAACTGTGTGCTGCGTGTGCTGCCTGTGCTGCTGCTACTGCAGGAGCCATCTCCCTGCTGACGGACATGGTGAACCGGCCCTCATACAAGGACTACACGCTGCTGGAGAACATCCTGTACTCATCCAAGGGGCTGGTGAAGACTCTCACCATGGTCTCCATCACGGCCGGCATCCGCAGGAAGGTGAGGAGGCCTCGCGCTCCGTGCCGCGGGCTCCTGGCCAGGCGGCAGCGGCCGCTGTGCCGATGGCTCCTGGGGAGAGCCCCTTGGGGCAGCGTGGCGCTTGTAGAGAGATGGGGGGGGACGGGGGTGGGGGCGGTGGGGACGGGGGGTGGGGGCTGGGCAGACGGGGGGAGCTGAGCCCAGACACCAACTTGTGAGTGCACATTGAGCGTAACATGGCTGCAGGATAATGTACTGCGCTGCTTTTGATGCTTGGATATTTACAAGACGCACGTTTGTCCATGAAAGGGCAGTTAGACAAGTCTACTGGGACACTCACGTCTACACAGCATCACAGCGTTCATACAAATCTGGTTACTGGGCTGTACCTGATCCCCACGTGGTTGGTGTGGCAGCTGTGAACATCCCAGATGCTCCACCCTGTGAGTCACTCCATGTGACTGGGTAGAGTGACTCTGTCCAGATTCTCACAGACAGCAGATCTATGTGTTTACTGTGTTTAGATGGGAGATTACTGTGTTTAGATGGGAGATTACTTTGTTTAGCAGAGCGATTACTTAGTTTAGATGTAGGATTACTTTGTATAGATGCAGGATTACTTTGTATAGATGGGAGATTACTTTGTTTAAATGGGAGATTACTTTGTTTATATGAGATATTACTTTGTTTAGATGTAGAATTACTTTATTTAGATGGGAGATTACTTTGTTTAGATGGTAGATTACTTTGTTTATATGAGACATTACTTTGTTTAGATGTAGGATAACTTTTTTAGATGGGAGATTTCTTTGTTTAAATGGGAGATTACTTTGTTTATATGAGAGATTACTTTGTATAGATGAGAGATTACTTTGTTTATATGAGAGATTTCTTTTGTTTAGATGTAGCAATACTTTCTTTAGATGGGAGATTACTTTATATGGGAGATTACTTTGTTTATATGTAGTATTACTTTGTTTATATGGGAGATTACTTTGTTTAGATGGGAGATTACTTTGTTTAGATGGGAGATTACTTTGTTAATATTAGATATTTGTTTTGTTTAGATGTAGGATTAATTTGTTTAGATGGGGGGTTACTTTGTTTAGATGGAGGATTACTTTGTTTAGATGGGAGATTACGTTGTTTAGATAATAGATTACTTTGTTTAGAGGGTGGTAACACTCATTCCCCGTACAGAAGGAACAGATGTAAATGAATCCACTTGTACCGCCATCTCTTGGCAAGCCAGGAGGTGGTGGCCTGGCTCCCGTGGGAGTTTCACAAATTTGTGCGATCCTCCAACCCTCGCATCCACGGCGCTGGGTCACGGTGCACAGAGCCCCGGCGCTACGTGGGGTCACTTGCGAGCGATGTTCAGAGTCGGACCGTGACGCCGGCTCGCATCGCCGCTGGTTTTCAATCGCGGATCTTTAACGTCCTCCGTGAAGCAGGCCGCGTGCACGTTTGGTGACTCCCCCCGCGGTATTTACCAGGGCGGCCCCCTGGGAGAGTCTCTGTGGGGACTCGGTGGGGTGGTGGGGGGCCCGGTTGGTCTGGGCCCCCCTCACCGGGGGGAGCCCCATGGCACCAGACGTCTCCTCTAGCGGAGCAGAGCTGGGCGCGGCGACACAGGGGATGAGTCTACGCAGCTTCACAGCTTCTAGGAGCACAGCGAGTTTATCAGCTGTTCATGTTAAACAATATACATTAAATAACAACCACACATTGACAATAGCAGTACAGGAACAGTAAATAATAACGCGGTATAAACAATCCAACTATTTTAATTTCAGTTGTGGAAAGAAACACGAATCAACGGTAATTAGTTTCATGAATTCAGGATCACAACTCAACTCATCAGACACTGCAAGGGATCCGCGTGCAGGGGCCGCGTTGAAGCGCAGGAGAGAGGCGACGCCGCCCACGCACGAGGCCACCGCTAGCGGAGTCCAGACGCGGGCTGCCCCCTCCGGGACACGGCAGGGGGTGCCGAGGCTCGCGCCGCGGGGACTCGCGCGCGGAGTTCGTGCGGCGGAGAGACTCGGGGGCGACCGCCCAGGAAACAAACTCTCCCCGGCGGTGCCGTCTCCCCGTAGCGCCGGTAGCGGCCACGCCGGTGGGCGGGGCGGTCCTCGCGCGGAGGGAAGCGCCGGAGGGAAACCCGGCCCGGACTCGGCGAGGCCGATCCGCTTACCGCCACCACCGTGCGTCCGCGCGCCGCGTGGCCGTGATCGGCGACGCGGCCGCAGGGGGCGGTGGCGCGCCGCTAGGGAGCGGTTCGCGACGAGCGTCGCTCGCTCGCTGGGAGGGAAGCTGCCGTGGGGTCGTGGCGAGGAGGGCGCTGGACTCGCTATCCACGGGTCGCCGGCTCGATTCGATCTCCCGGCACGGCAGCTGAAACAGCGGGGCAAGCTTCTTAAACCCCCCGCCTCTGTCCGCCCGTCAGTAGATTGCTCGCTGCAGTGAGTTGATGAGGAGGCGCGTGTGGTGGGGTACAGTGTGGGTACTCCCACATCTTTCAAGATGTTTGGGCAGTATGGAAGAGTAGACCAAATATCCTCTAGAGGGGCTCTCTATAGCTTCCTCTACAAGACACCCTTCTGCCAGCAGTGGCGTGAGCGGGCACTTGCAGGGCTCGACCTCTACTTAGTACTTGTGTACAAGACGCTCGTGTAGGTGAGTGTTGTGTACAGGGGGTTTACTTGTGTGCCAGCGTGCAGATGGATAAAGCCAAATACCAGGAGAGTTGAAGGATATGACATTTACAAACACACAACGTGGTTATGATATTGCTTCATTTCATCTCTGCCTGCTCAAACATAAGACAGCTTTCAGAATATCCAATCCTGTTGAATGTTATTGAAGTCCAGGTGTACCGGTAATGTGGATGTTATTCTGATTCACAGTTGTGGCTGGCTTATCCAGTCCCATGTCAGTATAACAAGACCTGTCGTCGTGAGCCAAGTCTGAGCGTCGTTCTCTACATCTGTGAAGAGAACGGCAGCAGCAGCCACAGCACTGAGCCCGGAGGAACTCACTTGGGAACTGGGGAGGAACCTGAGGAGTGGCTTCCATGTTGAATGACTGTTCTCCCCCTCCCCTCTCCTCGTCCCTCTCCTCGTCCCCCTCCCCGTCCCCGTCCCCGTCCCCGTCCCCCTCCCCGTCCCCCTCCCCGTCCCCCTCCCCGTCCCCCTCCCCGTCCCCCTCCTCGTCCTCCTCCTCGTCCTCCTCCTCGTCCCCCTCCTCGTCCCTCTCCTCGTCCCTCTCCTCGTCCCCCTCCTCGTCCCCCTCCTCGTCCCTCTCCCCGTCCCCCTCCCCGTCCCCCTCCCCGTCCTCCTCCTCGTCCCCCTCCCCGTCCCCCTCCTCGTCCCCATCCCCGTCCCCCTCCCCGTCCCCCTCCCCGTCCCCCTCCTCGTCCCCCTCCCCGTCCCCCTCCCCGTTCCCCTCCTCGTCCCCCTCCCCGTCCCCCTCCCCGTCCTCCTCCTCGTCCCCCTCCCCGTCCCCCTCCTCGTCCCCATCCCCGTCCCCCTCCCCGTCCCCCTCCTCGTCCCCCTCCTCGTCCCCCTCCCCGTCCCCCTCCCCGTTCCCCTCCTCGTCCCCCTCCTCGTCCCCCTCCTCGTCCCTCTCCTCGTCCCCCTCCTCGTCCCCCTCCTCGTCCCTCTCCTCGCCCCTCTCCCCGTCCTGTGGCTGCTCTTGTCGCTGGAGCTGTGGCCAGCAGGGAGAGTGCCGGGCCCAGGGCACTCTCGGCCTCTGATGTATTTCCAGATCACAAACTCGCCGCCTCTTTTAAACAGAATGTTGGACAAAACACGTAGATTAAACGTTGGTCTAATTAAATGATTGGTGTTGTGTACAGCCGCTGGTGTCTATAAACGACGGGGGTCGGATAATTTTCAATGGTCGGCACTACCTGTGGTGAAATCGGTCGAGTCAAAAGTTGCCCAACTTCGGCGGTAACGGCGCTCGACGCCGAGCGGATCTGCCGGACGGCGTTGAGGAGCGGCGGAGCTGCAGGGGCCGAGCGAGGCGAGGGCCTCCTCCGGTGAACAGAGACACCGCGTGAGCTGCAGGGCACTCGGTGCTGCTTGGTTGGTGCTGTGCTTGAACTATAGTCAAGGACATGGCTATTAAGGGGCCGTCCATAAATGACGTCACGCACCAATGGGGGGGGCGGGTGTCAGACATTTGTGACGATGTGTGACGAGGGGGGGAGGGGGGGGGGGGTTCAGAAATGTGACGTCACGTTAAAATGTGCAACTTTAAATATATATAGAATTGTTAGAACAACACTAATTTTTTGATTTAAAGCTTTCGTGACTGCAGTAATTCATATTCTTAGTTTTTTCGGTAAAGTCACGTTTGTAAGCCATCTGGCTTCCATGAGAGATTCGTTCATGAGGCTATCCACATATACAAACACAGAGACAATTTCAACCGAGAAGATGGATTTTATCTTAGCAATCATTGGAAAGATTTGATAAATCATTTCAGTTCTTGATTGATTGTTCACGCTTACAGTGGCTTTCAGACAGCATACATAAAAACAAATTTCGTCTCCCCCCTCCTCTTTTCAAAAAATAGATGGACTAGTCCTGGCAAACAGCCAATCGTTGCGCGTGACGCAAACGTTATTTTTATATATATAAATAAATAACTATGCCGTTTTCAAAATAAATTTATGCAAACCGACACACCTGATGATGACCGTTTGAGTTATGGTCGAAACGTCGTGAGAATTTTTTTTATTGTTTTATATATATTTTGTTATTTTGTTGTTTCTCTTCAACGTGACTTTACCGAAAAAACTAAGAATATGAATTACTGCAGTCACGAAAGCTTTAAATCAAAATTTAATCGCCTCTACGGGGAGGGTTTTCACATAACTTTAAGATCCTTCAACAAACTCCGGGATAAGAAAGCTCAGCTGATCGAGTCTCTCACCTTCCTGAAGAGATGCCGCGACTCTGGGGTAATACCAATCGCATTTACACTCACCTCTGCTACTGTAACTTCTTCTA